AAAATCTTCTTGAGGTGTGAATAAATGCATTCTTCTCTTCTTATTTTATTTACATAGTATCACATGTTCCCATATCGCTTTTAAAAAGCAGCCCATCAAAACAAACCTGTAACATAATCCTCTCTAAATGTTATAAACACTCTCTTTGGCAAGAATACAAAAATCAGCCACATTATCAACAATTATGATTCAGACCTATCACTTCACCTGAATATTTCAAAGAACCTGAAACATTTCCAATTTCCCAGATTACTGCATTCTGTTAATATTTATTGACCATCTATTATTTGGCAGACCCTAGAGAAGAACAAATCTAATTCTCTGCTCTCAAAGATTCATTGTCACAATATGATTTCATTACCATTACTCTATGGCAATAATATATTTTGGCTCTATCTTTGCTGTAGGACCATTAAGGAATCTTCCATTCATACCAGATAACTAAAATTATAATCACTGTGCATGTTTTTCATTAAAAATTTGGTGGTATATACTGATACTTTTCCTACACATTTTTGAAATGACTGAAATAAAAAATTGCTAGATAAAACTACTCTATGTTAAGTTGTAGCAGGAAAAAAAAACTAGCAAACATGAATTAACTCCACACAAAAGCACTGCTCGTGATTTCAGAGTGAAATAAAAATATGCTGATAGGTAGTCCAATAAACTTATCAAGTTAAAAGGTATTATATTTAATCACTTAAAATGATGGTTTACTTTTTAGTGATAATATTGTTAATAGGTAATAATAATTTTACAGCTCAGATGAACTTGGTTATCTGAGGATAAAAATAATAGGGCCAAGCTAGAAATCTCCCAGCCATGTGACAAAATAATTGTTCTATCATAAAACTTATCAGGTAAATTCCTAATTATTAAATCTTCCTCCAACATTTTGGATTTCACTCCCCTCTGGGAAACTGGCAGGTAGGCACACTGTATAGAATCTGCAGTAACAGAGGAGAAGCAAGCACAGATTTGTCTGGAGGTCGTCCCTGGACTTTCTGCCATCGGCTCTGTAGGGCGACCACAACAATGCCTGGAAACACACTAGAAACTACTGTGCATATTCTTCTTCTAAAGCGAATCATCTTGATTGTATTTAAAAATCTCATTATTTCAAAATTAAAAAGATGAATATAGAAAACCACACAAAATAAATTTATGACACTATGAAATTTTATAAAACAAACACTTGGTCATTATAAAGTAACCAGCATGGTGGTCGGGAAACACAGACTCTGCCGACTCTCTCAGAAGCCCTTTCTTTCCACGAGTCCCACCCCAGTCACAGCCTCTTCCCACCTCCCGCAAGCAACCATTGTCCTGACTTGCACACAGTAATCATTTCCATGTGTTTTCTATAGCTTTGTCATCCACAAGTGCATCCTTGCACACTGTTAACTGTTGATTTCTACATGCATTATTATTTTACAGTTAGCAATGCATACAGCTGCTAAATACCATTTAACATATTTTAAAATATAAATGCAAGAAAGTCAAAGTTTTACCCATCTTAAATGTTTTCTTTTTTTCATAATAAATACCAACAAGGAGATTTGTCAAGGAAAAGGATATTAATGCTGCATCTCTAACTACTTGACAGATAAAATAATAATGTGAAAAAAATCCATTCTAAAGAAGCAATGTTCAGAAAACCAAAAGAATTTTTAAAAACCATAAGCCAAAAATGTTTCTGGGATAATAATTACCCCCAAAAAGGTTACTAAAATTATAGAATGGCTCAAAATCATATCTATTAAGTTTAAAGATATCTATGTTCATATGTACACATAAAAAAAAGTGTTTCATAGTCTTTCATGAGAAATGCTAAATATCTATATCTATGCATATAATATTCTGGTATGAAAAATATGACCACCTCTAATTTAAATTTTACTTTACTAAGTATTTTATTTTCTAATTTCAGAAAAGAGATTGCAATTCAATCAAAGGTAAATTTTAACCTGTTTTAAAGTAACTTTCCTGAATGTAAAATTAATGCTATCTATAACTATTTGGAAAACACAGTGTACATAGATAAAAATCGTGCATAATCTCAGCATCAAAAGATAATCACAATTTAACATATTAGCCTGTTTATTCATTATTTACCTCATTATGCCTCTACTATTTCTTTAAAAAAAGTAGTTTATTTTTCATTATCCATACAATCTTATAGATAAGCAGACTATGAAATATGAAATAATAAGACTAATTTTTAAACATATAAGAATTAATACAACCATGTGAGCATTTCTTTTTTACTTTAAAGATGCAGATAATGGAAACAATATTTTTCAGGGGGCTTCCTTAAGAGCTACCTTGAAATTCAGTCAGTATACATATTAATTACTATTACAGAAAGGGTTCCCAATGGATCCTCATATAGGAATATAACATTCTAAAATTTTACCAAAATCATATTGTGTTCCTATTTCCCATTTTCTCCCCTGGGTCTTCATACTTCTATGTCTACACATTAAACATGAGTTATGTTGATAATTTTCAGAAATTGACTATAAAGAATTCAGCAAATCCAACTCATGAAAATTACCATAAAAATATACTACAGAAGACAAACATATTTCTAAAAATCCAATTGTAATAAAAAATTACACAAGTCCAACTATATCTTTTCATCAACCTCCATTTAAAAATAACTTGGAAGCCCTGGCTGGTGTAGCTCAGTGGATTGAGCGCGGGCTGGGAACCAAAGTGTCCCAGGTTCGATTCCCAGCTAGGGTACATTCCTGGGTTGCAGGCCATAACCCCCAGCAACCGCACATTGATGTTTCTCTCTCTCTCTCTCTCTCTCTAACCCCCCCTTCCCTCCCTAAAAATAAATAAATAAAATCTTAAAACAAAATTTATAAAAAAATAAATAAATAAAAATAAAAATAACTTGGAGATATATTACCAGAAAATAAGTTGCCTTAATGGTATAATAAAATGCTAAAAACAAATTAAATCTCTTAAAACTAATATTTAAGATAATATTATGAAACATTAGATAAAAAAACGTGTTAATAATCATAATAAATTGAAGAATGAAATACTGACTTTTTTTACAACTACATTTTCTTAGGCCTAAATGATACAATCAGAGGTTGTTCATCCTTTAAAATCTTCTCTACTGCTTCTACTTCTGGTCAATGCTCATTCCAAAAACCTTGACATATTGAAGTGGGTTTCTAAAGCCAGTAGTGTGAATACTCTTTGAAATACTGAAAGTGCCTTATGAATCCAAAATTATTATGATAATAATGATGGTAAAGACTATGACAACAATGGTGCTGAAAGAAATGTTAAGTTAATTCTGTATTCCTTGTAAGATTTCCATGGTCAACAGAAGGGTGCATCTTTCAATACAATGGAATTTGAAAGAGTACTGATGTAATTAGTTTCTTACACCGACAAATATCACATGTCCTTTGGAATAGAACACTGGTGGTATCTAATGCCATATCTAGTTGTCAAAACTAGTGGGTATTTTAAAAAATTTTCCCATGACTGACAGACCAAATCTAGGCATGTCTTTCTGGGTGTAAGAGAGAGATGAGAGTACTCTGTTCCAGCCAGGTTCCTTTTACTCCTCATGGTCAGCTCTTAGCTTTATTTTCTGCCATCAGCCAAGGTGAAAAAGGAGAAGGATATTATTCGGATAAATACCGTGTCCTGGGCCCTGCCTTATCTGCCTTTCTCTACTTTTTCTTTATATGCAGTAGCATCTGTTTCACTCCTCTTGTCTTCGAGAGCTATTGTTTAGTACTTAGCAAGTTTTATGAGTACAATCCAGATCTGATGAGGTAATCAGGAGCAGTAACACTTAAATCAGTTTAGCAAATGCTTTAAGTATTACACAGCCCCTGCCAGATGCGGAAGATTTTCACTTCTCTTAAATCTGCATATTTTTTTGTGCACTACTTTTGGGGTTATAATTCTTCTGGCTATTTTTACTCTTCAGTTTAAGGCTGAAGTATTTCCTTTGGAAGAACACAGTCTTTTTCCCTTTTGAATCCTGGTTCTGGTTTTTAAGGCTACCTCAACAATATATATATAGATTGATGCCTCCCTTCTACCAGCTAAGCAAGGATCCCTCTGGTTAAGTTCTAGGTACTCACTATCACTTATTTCCTCAGGCTGCAGCCCAAGGGTACTTCCTTCAAACCAAGGGAACTGGATTTCCTGTATCTCAAACTCAATTTCTTCTTTTATGGTCAGTTTTGCAAACACAGTAATTTCCCAGCCCCTTCACAACACTGTCTCCTAACCCTTAACTGCATTTTTTCCCTATTTCCCTACAGAAAATCTTACTTGTTTCCTCACCTTTGTTTTTTTAAATAATTCTTCTCCCTGATATCATCAACTCTCTAAAATCTCATTTGTGGTTCTTCTAATAAAATTTTCATATACATCACCAAGCCAAGGATAGTCCATTGCCCTTCATCAAGAATTTTTTTTTAAATCACATTTTCATTTTTGCACAGAACCTTGTATTTCTTTTAATTCACAATAAATTTTACTTATGGAGCTGAATTCAGCAAAGGGGATATTTAGCCTTATGAATGAAATTATTCTTATTTTCATATCTTAAGGAATTTCAAAGCACTTACAATATGTAACCAAAATTAGCAAAAATAGAAAAATGTATTTCTTATGTACAATATCACTTGTATAACTTCTATGATGACTCTTCATGAAATAATTACTACATAATTCTTATAAATCTAAAACTTCATAAATTAGTCATGCTTAAAGTTAAGAAATACCGTGAACAGCTTGGGGTAACTTAGGGCAACTCTCTTACCTTAAGCCTGCTCAACAAGGCTCAAACGCCCATTTGTAATTTATTTTTAAAGTTACGAGTCTATTTTTCAAGAAAGAACAATTTCTTAAGCACCAATGGAAAAGAATAGATAGTCTAATGCACTTTTCAAGAGCAGTGGTTAAAAAGAACATGGACAATATAACAGTAAAATTATATATTAACTTACATAATCATGGAAGGCTTTTGCTTCACTTGAATGTTCACATGTTTCCCTTCTTTCTGGAGCTGCACAGTAGAGATCCCAAAATACACTAAAAAAGTAATCATGGTAGCATTAAAAATCATATAATACCAAATGAAAGAGAATAATTCTAAAAACATAAGACATTAATTTTATATAAAATGTGTTTTCTTCAAGACAAATATTTCCTTGAAAGACTTAAATTCAGGCAAGGCTCTTCATGTAATAATAGGATATAATCTAGCTATCTCTCAGAAATGCTAATATGATTTTTCTAAAAGGATAAAATGATTTTTAAAAAAATTTAAAACTGTCATTTTTGTTTCTTTACATGACAAATGATTGAAATAATTATAATTTTCATAACTTTCCCATGAAGAATAAAAACAGTAAAAAAAAATCCTAATTTAATCATTAAAGAATAAAGTGGTCCATTAATTTTTTCAGGATAATTTTGTCATCTAACTCACAGGCCAACAGCCTCACCATTAAGTCACAGTGGTTGGGTGCTGTCCAAGGCCAGGACTGCCAGATACTGCTGGCAACCACCAGCAGCTGGGAGCCTGCACGGAACATACTCTTTCCCTGGGCCCCCAAAAGGGACCAATACTGCTGACTTCTTGATTTCAGACTTCTGGCCTCGGAACTGTGAGAGGACACATTTCTGTTATTTTGAGCCTCCCCCAACTTCTATCCCAACCCCCTAAAATTTCCCCCTAGCCCACCCAGTTTGTGGCAGTTTGTCAGGGCAGCCCTAGAAAACCAATATAGTTGCTTTTTGAAAAAAAAAAGTAAAAATAAAAATAAATCACATTGGTCAAATGAATGTTTTCTTAAAATTTCCTCTTGTTTCCCTTTGCAAATACCAAAATAGGTTACTAATGTTGAAAATTTAAAAATCCATGCTGTTTTTTACTCCTATCCAAGAAAAATGGGAAACAACAAGATGAAACTGCTTGAGAAAAAATAATTATTCTGCTTATAAGACATATGGCTCTGGTCATCCTTCCATCTATAAAATGAATTATGAGCATGAGCAAGGGTTTCAAAAATCAGGAAAGCAAATGTCTAAAAGTACTCCTGGTTGATAAACCAGCCTAATTACTAGCTCTATTTGCTTAAACAGATCAGAACGCAGTTTCCTCCTCTATGAAATGGGGTTGTTTAGAAAATTAAGATATATAACATAAGCACAGGGTCTGACTCACAGTCAACATATCATTAATAATATCAACACTATGATTAGTTTGCATAAAAGCTTAAAAGGTATACATATTCTTAAGGCAGATCATTGTGCTGAGGGCAACATTAACAATAGCATCGTTAAAACCTGGCAACTTAAACCTGGTCTCTTTGTTTTCACCCTTGAAGTCTCATTTAGTCTGGACACAGTCTGTAGGCCTTATAACACAATTAATTCAGTGAAATAAGATTACCTTAAGTGAAAAATCTGAAAGATTGAGTATTGGCATTTATTGCCTTTAAAATTTTTACAATAAGCAAGAAACACAAAGAACACAATAAAAGCCAAAATAATTTAAGTAAATTTCAACTATTTTAGGAGAAAGAAAGTATTTAAAAGTTGTACTTGGCCTCCCCATACATCTTTTGGGATAAATAGTATAAGAATTGTAGACACACAAGGATACATTGTCCACTTGAATCAGGTGCATTATAAATTACAGTATGTTGCAATTATTTCTACTTTCATGTTCTTAAGGAACTTCAAAGCTCTTACAATCAAGATTTTATAATGGTAGTCCTTATAAAGTATATTTAGTTTAAATATACGATATTATATGTGATATTGTGACAAACTTATCTCTCTCTTGTTCCCTAATTTCCTAGCAAATACTATATGATCTCTTTTAAAAATTATTCCAGCCCTGGCTGGTGTGGCTCAGTGGACAGAGCGCCAGCCTGTGAACCAAAGGGCTGCTGTTTGACTCCCGATCAGGTCACATGCCTGGGTTGCAGGCCAGGTCCCCCTATCCTAGGCATGCAAGAGGCAACCACACATTGACGGTTCTCCCCTCACTTTCTCCCTCCCTTCCCCTCTCTTTAAAAAGAAATAAGTAAAATCTTTTAAAAAATCATTCCAGTATTACTTTTAAAAGGTTGTCTTATAAAACTGACTGGAAGAATAATAATTTATTATTGGAGTATGCCCTAAATGTTATAAAATATTGAAATAATTATTTATACACATATAACTAAGTTAAATACTTATCTTTGAATAATAACATTGGTCTACTTCTACTTTTAAGTTCCACCTTTATGGATTTGGTGGGAGGTGAAAGGTTTATAAGATCAAGATAAGGGATAATAAGACAAGTTAGTAAAATAGGATATATTTGTATATTACATGTCTAACAATCCTATATTACCTGTATATGATCTCTTCAAATAAGAGTAAAGAAATATATCCATTTAAGAACATTTACCCAAGGGAGGAATACACAGTTTTACAGTAATACTTATAGACATGAATACTTCATTCTCGTTAATGGATAAAACAACCAGACAGAAGATATGCAAGGAAGGAAATAGAGGGCAAAAACAGCATGATAAATCAACTAAATCTAATAGATACACACAGAACACTTTCCCCAATGATAATGGCACACACATTCTTCTCAAGTGCATTTGGAATATTTTCCAGCACAGACCATAAATCTCAACAGATTTAAAAAGACAGATACCATACAAAGTATCTTCACCAACCATGTAAGATGAAATTAGAAATCAGTAACAGAAGAAAAACTGAAAATTTCACAAATTTGAAGAAATTAAACAACACTGCCAGTGGATCAAAGAAACAAACACAAGGGAAATGAGAAACAGAAATACTTATAAATGAAACAAAAACACAATATACCAAAACTGACAGGATGCAGCAAAAGCAGTACTACGAGGGAAATTAAAAGCTATACATACTAACATTTAAAAACAAGGATGATCTTACATTAACAACATAACTTTAAAATTTAAAGAACTAGAAAAGAAGGAATTAAACTCAAAGCTAGCAGAAAGAAATACTAAAGATTCGAGCAGTGATAAATAAAATAGAGAACAGAAAAACTGTAAAAAAATTATTGAAAACAAAGGCTGGTTCTTTAAAAAGACCAAGAAACTTGACAAATCTTCAGATAGATGGACTAAGAAAAAAAAAAGATTCAAATTACTAAAGAAATAATAAATGAATTCAGTAAAGTTGCAGAATACAAAAATCAATATATAAGAATCTGTTTAGTTTCTGTATACTAACAACAATAATCAGAAAGAGAAATTATGAAACAGAATTGCATCAGAAAGAATAAAATATCTGAGAATAAACTTAACCATGGAGGTGAAAGGTCTATACACGGAAAACTATGAGAAACTGATAAAAAAAAACTGAAGACACAAACAAATGCAAAGATATTTTGTGCCATGGATTAGAGGATCTAATGTTGTTAAAATGTTCAACTACCCAGAGCAATCCAGAGTCAATACAATCCCTATCAAAATTCCAGTAGAATTTTCCATAGAAAATAATAACTGTAAAATGTGTATAAAATCATAAAAGACTCTGTATGGCCAAAGCAACCTTGAAATGTGGTGAATTCAACATCATGAATAATGCTTTAGATTTGTAGTTTCTGTATTCTTAATCAGAAACAAGTGAAAAATCTGTACTTTCCAAATGAAATAGAAGCAAACTTGCAAAGTGTTGAAATCTTTGTTTTTATATTATTTATTATTAGAATGTTCCCCACATAAACAAAGGAGAACACAGGATTCTCAAGTTGAGACTTCTTATCGAAAAACTGTTTTCCTTCTGTCCTGAGGATGTGAGTTGCAATAACTTCACTAGTTGTCAGTGTATCCGAGGAACACAGAAAGCCAAGTCGTTGCCAGAGAAGTCTTCAAGGGTAAATAAACATACCAGATGCGTCCCAGTAGATGGGATGCTAATATAATTATATAACCTTTGTGCCACTGGTCAGATTTATTGCTATCTGAAAATAAAAATTAAAAGAAGAAAAACCTCTGGGGCAAATATTTTTTTTCTGAAGAGCAAGCCACATTATTATAAATTCATGACTTAATAATTAAAGAAGTTATTTCTTTTGGCCCAAAATTATATTATCAATGAATGAAGAAAACTATCCATTCATAAGACTAAGGAGGGTTTTATATGAAATATACATGTATCTGCTCATCACCTTAGAACTTCTATGTACATGTACTTGTCTTATTTCTTAGCATTGCTTAATACTTTTTAAATACTTTTTAAATGCAAGCATTGATTTTTGTCCCACTATTATAAAATTTTCACAATACTCCTGGGTTACTAATGCAATTGTATTTTAAAGTACCAAAATAGCTTACATGTAATAAGTATGTGCTAAATTCAAGCATTACATACTCAGCATTTAATCCTCTTATTATTATTCCCACTTTATAGATGAGGGAACTGAGGCTTAGGAATACTAAGTAATTTGCCTAAGGGTAACACAGTTAGTTCAACTTTTTAATTCTTACATTATTTTGCCTCTCATGGGAGTATGGTATTAAGAGTTCTTATTTCAAGATGCCTTATGCTGACTAGGGGCAAGTTTATACCGCTCTGGCAGTCTGTGCAGCATCAGCTGTTATTAGAATGTGGTAGATACCCATCCTAGATAAGACAGCGAGCACTTTGTTACCCTACCCTTGACCGTTGCACACCAACTCTGCCTGAGTTTCCCCTGGCAACCACTCCTCATGCTACCAGCAGCTGCCAGTGATCCATGGATGCCTCAGTATAGACTCAATTTAGAAAGGACAACTTTTCTGAGTCCCATTTATATCTACTATCTGGAATTAACCAGTCATGACGCTCAAAAGAAAACTATAATTAATTTCTTATTAATAGTGGGCCACTAAATTCTGTTCTGTGTTTGAGAAATAATATCTATCACAGAGACAAGCACTGGTTACAAATCAGGGAACCTCAATTCTAGTTCTAAATTTGACCCTGAGCAAATAGTTTTTTTCTTAGTTTCCTTATGTAAAAAGAGAAATATCTATTATGTATTTTATAGGTTTTTGTAGATAAAAAGAGATGGCATATGCAAAAGTACTTTTAGAGAAAGTATAAAGTTACTAAGAAGTATTCTAGGAAAGTCTCATATAAGTAATACGGCTAGGAAAAAAGTTCTCTTATTAACTGAGTAAAGTTTGTCTTAATTTCCTTTTTTAACCCTTTGCATTTTGTGGAAGATTCCATCAGTTTTTCACATTGTCTTTTCCCCAACAAATTTTCCTCTGTATTCCACATTCCTTTGCTACTCTCCCAGACACAGTTTGCCTTGTCTCTATAGCCTGACCACCTCTGTTCTTTGTTCCCTCTTGCCAAGACTTTTTATTCCCTTCTCATCATGATCATACTCTGTCTATCCTAGCTGTCACCTACATGGTCTTATATTGCTGCTCAGTTTAACTTAATTCATATAAACAATTAGTTGCTCAATGCTTATTACAGGCAAGATATACATGATGAGTGGGAACCAGTTTGCCAATGATAAGTATTATGCCATTCTAGTGAGCCAGTTGACTGATTACAATGCTATTTTTTGTATGGGTATTTGGTTGTTATTAGCTAGGTCTGATGTCACCCATTAGATTCTACAGCTATTAGAGCACTAATACACTGCAGGGTTTGATCTCCGACAACCAGGTGAGAGAAACTGAATTCCTGTAATAATAGTTTATTTTCTCTGAATTTCCAAAACAATAGTTTACTTTCTCTGAATGTGATATACTTAATTTCAGGACATAGATACATTGCCCCAATGTTATTTCAAAGGTTTTTTAATTATATATACATATAATTAAATAAAAACAAAACATGGTTTAAGCCATTAAAACTTTAAAACTGAAGTTTTAAGTGTATATTCTTAAATTACACAAATTGAAAAGGATATTAATTTCAGAGGAAAGAAGTATCTTGTCATTTCAGTTTATGAAATTCATTAAAGAGCTGGGAACTTTTATCAAAGTGACAAACAAGAAGTAAGTTTTCAAAGGGGACTTGATGCAGGTAAAGGTAAGGGACATGGGAGGCGTGGGAAACAGTTCAGCAGTGGGTGTCACACAAACTGAGAAAGAAAAAAATAGTGATGATGGGAATCACATCAGAAACAAGACAGTTCCAGAAAGTAAAAACACACTCTATCCCTTACTAAAGGAAGAAATTCCCCTTCTCCTCTCCAGGGCCTTTGCCTCTCCTCTCTCCTGTACTTTATTCTGCATTTTTGTGCATGTGCATTTCTCTTCACACATCTTTAACCCCTCCGACTCTTTCCACCTCAATCTCTATGCAATGCTAAAATCTATTTTAAAATCTAAAATATTAGTTCCTGTTCCATTGTCAACCCTGAATCTACTACACATGCCACCTCACATTTCAACTACTCTCAGTGTCAACCTGAACAAATGCATTACAGCAGCCTTCTAAGTTTCACTTCCACCATGCCACTGAAAATGTTGTCCCCAAGACCACCGAAGTTCACCTTACTTCCCAATTCAGAAAAAAACTTTATGATTTTTTATTTACACTTGCTGCAGAATTTAATCTCCTGTTTGAAAGCCTTTCCTGATTCCCACACATTATTCTCTCCTGATTACCCTTCTTCCTCTCGAGTTATTTTCCTTGGAGGGTCCTTTTCATCCATTCATGCTTAAATGTTGACTTTTCCCAGGGTTCCAACCCCATGCCTTGCTCTTACATTTTATACTGGGTGGTTTCAGTATGGTCAATGCTGGTGATTCCAAAGCCATTATGGACCTGTGTTAGAGCAACAGACTCAGATCTCTGACTTTGTATACGGCATCTCTAACTGAATGTCATGCAGGAATCTCAAAATTTAGCCTGTCCAAATTAAATCATGGACTTCTATACAAAGCCTGTTATTCTTTCTATATTCCTGCATTCAGCCAGTAACACCACTGTTCATCCCACCATCCAAATCTAAAACCTGAGAACCTCCTCCTTCACCTCTAACTATTCCATTCAATGTTCACTATCTGGGACACATTACCTAATCACCTTTCAACTGGACAGTTACCACTGCCTTGTAAACTAGATTCTGCCTTCTTCAATCCTTCTCTATGTTAATGCCCAGTGAGTGTCTAAAAGCACAAATCTAATCATGCTATGTACCTTGTTTAAAATCTTTTGAGCTTTACTCAAAAACCCTCGACTTACTCCTAGACTTTGTAACCTGGCCCCTGCCTTTGTCTCTGGCCTTATACTCTATCACTTCATAGTACTGCACCTATGAGTCAACTAGTTTAAGTTACCTATCATTCCTTGAATGAACGATCATCCCTTGTAAGACTGCACACTATTTCTCTGCCAAAATACCTTTCCCTCACCCAACTGTCAACTCATCTCAGATTCACTTTCTCTATTCAGGATTTCTAATTCTCTCAAGCTGATGTATTCCTCCTGTACTGCTATTATAATCAGTACATATCTCAGTTATGATACTATTAATTGTACTTAAGAGCTGCACCTTCTGATATCTAAAACCAAAAAAACTAAAGTCTGATGGAAGCAAAAAGCCTAAGTATTCAGTGAGTTATTATTAGCCATTTGCAATACAAGAATAGGTTAAATTCATGAGAAAAGGAGTAAAAGGAAAATAGGTACAAAAAATAGAATTAATTCTAAAATGGAAAACTTAAAATCTTCACTTTGTGAATGCACTAATCCAACAGGGACAGACTTCTAAACTGGTTTCTTATGCACTGTGTAGACCTAGTTGTAAACATACAAAAGGTAAGGGTGTTAATAGGTAAGGAGACTCAACTACATTCATCAAACAGTTAAGTATTTACAGTCTAGATCTAGGTATTAGAAATACACACTACATAAAATGAAAAATTGAATTTTATAATATTACACATTACAAGCAATTGGTCTTATATCCCAGGAAAGCAGTCAGATGATAGTGCTTAACTGCAATGAACCGTTGTTCCAAATACAGGAACAACTCTAACCAAAGGCCTGCACCTGTTCCTGCCATACATATGTGAGACAAACAAGGGAAACCCACAACCACAACTGACCACGTGCGGTTCCATTCACCACAGCACTTCTAGTAAGCCATGCTTTCAGAAGTGAGATTAAAAAGATGATGGCATTTAATAACGTACTGAAAAAAACACATGCAAAGTACTAAAAGAGAGCTGTAGTTTCTTCTTTTAAATAAGATGCTGAGAGATGAGTGTATAAAGTACTGAACAGGAAATGCTTCTATTGAAGAAATGCAAAAAAAAAGTCTAACTTAATGCAAATACCTGGATGACCAATGGCTACCAATTGCTGCTGCAGAAAAGTACACATCTAGGCATATAGATGCCACAGTGAAATTTATAAGTTCGATATCAACTGGGCCTTCAACAGAACCCTCATGATGGAATTAGGGCCCTCATTAGAAGGGATACCAGATAGCTAGCTAGCTAGCACCCATGTGCCATTTCACCCCTCTCTCTATCACATGAGAATACAAAACAAGGCAGCCATCTACAAGCCAGGAGGAGAGTTCTTACCAGAAACAGATAATACCAGCAGCTTGATCTTGGACTGCAAGCCTCCAGAATTGTGAGACAATAAACTTCAGTTGTTTAAGCCATCTGGTCTATGGTATTTTATTATGACAGCTCAAGTTGGCTAATATGGAATCATACTTACAGTTGGAGATTCCACATACTGCTCCTAATTCCAGCTTGATACAGTAATATCTTTAAATTAAGCAACACTACTGCTTGTTTTGATTTTGTATGTTTTTTAGTACTATCTTTCAGAAAATAATTATAGAAAATGAAAAAGAATAAAAGGGAAGCATGAAATCATAAACAGCTATAGTGCAGGCCTACTGAAATGTACCGTCAGTCTGGTAAAAATGAAATAAAAAAAGATACTTACCACCACCAAGAATGTAAGAATCCTGGTGGTTCCCCCAATGTGATGTTTTTTTCCCATCTTATCTAAAATAAATAAAAGAAATAGTAAATATTTTCCTAATAACAACTTCCCCATACCTATTACAAAGCAGTATTTTCCACTTTAAAATATTAAGGTAATACATAAAATTTTCATCATTTTCATATTATCCTTTACTCAAGCTTTATAAGTACTCATTTTATATAGCAATTTGTTGACTGAATAGTCTATGAGAGAAGGTGCCACCATTATTTTCCTAAATAGCTTCCCTCTGCACCAGAATTTCAGAAGGTATTTCAGGCTCTCAAGGTCTGCATCAAAATCAAAGTTATTAACACCATGAAAATCAGTTATCACCACTAACCCAGAAATTTGCAAGAGACTGGGCTTCATATATACCAACTCTAAATTATGCCCTAAGGATTGAAATTTTTAATAAAGTCCTGATTTGGGGGGTGGGAATAAGAACGCGTGTGTCTTCCATAAAATAAGAGTTTAAAAAAGATGATATTAACTTCCCAATTGTTTATACTCTTATTTTTAAATAAGGTCAACATTTTTAAGGTAAATAAGGCCAAAAATTTTAAACTAGGTAGGTCAATATCCCCCCAAATTAAAAGTTCTAAATACTTAAAAATTAATGAGAAGTTGAAAAAGAACTGAGAGGGTAGTTATACAATGGCTTTTCTAAGCACTGGAAGGCAATAATCAGAGATTACACTTTAGTGGGGAAGACAGACCATAAACAAAGAAAGCCCACCACAAAGAGAAGGTATTTATATCAGAAGGTGACAAATGCTATGGAAGAAAACAAAACAGTGAAGAGAGGATAAAGAACAGAAAAACAGTAAGAAGTGACTTATAATTTGAATGAAGTTAATCCAGCCTCAAACATAATCTATATGTATATGAGGTCTGTCTGGAAAAAGTCCAACTGCTGTTAATATAACAAGAACGGTTTCCGTGATATCAATGTAACCTGGAATCCAAGAAGAGTGGACTGGAATGTGTATGTGTGAACAATGATGACTTCACTGTACCAGTCAGTGGGGGCAGCAGGCACCATTGAGTGAGTGTGTGCACTGTGTAGCCACTGCAATCAAAGCAAGTGAGCGAGTAGAGCAAGAAATCTGCATCGAATTTTGCTTGAGCACTCCTCTGCACAAACTTTTCAGATGCTTCAGAAGGTTGCAGCTATGGGCAACTGGTGAATGCATCACATCTTATACAGAAGATTTTTGGTGAAACATCAAATCACCCAGGTAATTCAGCCCCCCTAAAGTCCAGATTTGGCACCCTGTGACTTATGCCTTTTCCTGAAATTAAAATCACCTTTGAAAGGGAAGAGATTTCAGATTGTCAATAAGATTCAAGAAAAGACGACAGGGCAGCTCATAGCGATTGGGAGAACTGTATGAGGTCCCAAGGTGCCTACTTCGAAGAGAACTGAGATGTCATTTTCCTATGTATAATGTTTCTTGTATCTATCTTCTTCAAACAGACAAAAATAAATGTCTCTATTTTTTGTATTATATGGATGGATACTTTCTGGACAGACTTCATATGCCTTAGATTTCTAGTTTAAATAACTAAAAATTGTTTAACAACACCCCAATCAACAAAATATGCCTATATTCCCCTAACATTACTAGGAAGTAAACAACTATAATTATAAATTCAAGGAATCTTTTCTATTACCTACTGTGGCAGATCTTAGGACTTCTTATCCCAAAAGGATTTTTTAAAATATTTTAAGATAGGAACTCAGAAGGTGGCCCTAAATGTTTTTTTAAAGCCTCTCTAAGGAAGAAATGGAAAAACTTAAGAGTAGTTTTTAGAGTTTTTAAGAACATAACATGTAAACCAATGGGAACCTTGAAGTAGACAAGTAATTTCCTCTCAAAAACCAAAGAGAAAATTTCTAAAGATTAGAAAATCATATATAGGATAGCCATTTTAAAAAAGAGCTAAATGGAGAAATTCTAGGAATTCAAAAACACTGAATATGAATAATGAATCAGAACATGTTATATAAATCTAAGCCATATCCTTTCATTCTTCTAAGTAGTAACAATTTTTATTTCTATGCTACCTTTTATCTGGTAATTTCCACTGATCAACAGATACTATATCTTCTTGGCTCATGAAAAAAAATAAGAAATAGTACTTACTGAGTCCTATGATGACTATAACTCTGATGCGCTACTAAAGTTATAAAGTAATCAAAAACTTATGTCTCATCTTTCTCTCAATTTTTTCTCTTAACATTTTTTCACTAGCTGGTAACTTCCTGTAAAGGTATAATAATGGACCTCACAGATGTGCCCAGACATACTAATATTCCTAATCCCTGCAATCATCCTAATCACATAAACAACAAGTTTCTTAAAGTAGAGTCTCTACATTTCATCTCAGTTTACCTTAACTTCACATGCTATGACTATTAAAGCACACATCCTATTCTCATAGTTATGAACACACATTCTCATAGTTAAAGCACACATACTATCCTCATAGTTATGAGGAGAACGTGAGGTGACTTATGCAGGAGTTAAAGTGGCATGACTAGGTCTCAGTGCCAGACTGTGCTTGAGGTAGAATTAGACTCACAGTCTAAACCCCACTACACCACATCTGCGTCCTGCAAATTCCAGTGTCCACAGTCAGTCATCAGCTGTTTCAGAAAGTAAAGTACTCTAGGGAAATACCTCTATGGTTTAAATTTATATGGTCTTTTATCAGAGAAAGTCTGAAGGGAATGCATTTATATTTTAAGCAATATTACAACATATTATTCCTCAGAGAAACTCAAAATGCTTCACGTGCATCATCTTTTCATCCTCATAATATTCTTTTCTATATACTGAGTAAGTTCATCTTCTCACTTGGAGTTGCAAAGCTGTAGCACAAGCTACAGCTATAACTTTGCAAAGCTATAACTTTGGTTCATCATATTAAACTTAATACAAAAGCTATCTTTTTATAGTTAATGAACAAACAATTAATGCTTTAGGTACTTCCAAAGAAGAGACGATTCTACGTAGGGGTATGTATGTTTCCATAGTGAATTTTTTTATCTCCAAACTAATTACTACTACTTGTTTAGAAAATGCATAATTATAGTCAGGAAAACAAAACTCTAATCTATAGAAAACCAAGGCACATTCATTGAGTATTGCTAGAAACAATGAAAATTAGAAACAACCTGAAAAGCATTCATCAACAGTGATTGTAAAATAAATTTTGATACTTACATACTATAGAAGAGTGTGCAATCATTAAAAGGAATAAGATATACTTAAACTGAAAAAGGGCCATGCTATATTGGTTTTTCAAGTTGGAGCTTTGGAAGGTTGTAGAAAAATATACATAATACAAAACCTTTTCTGTTTTAAAAAAAGTGTGCATATATGTGTGTGCATTTGTATGTATTCATATTAAAGAAATTGCACCAAACTCACAACTATTATCTCTAAAAATAGGTAAGTAGTAAGGACTTTCATTTTAAAATCATATTAACCTCTGTAGTTTAACTTTTTTAGCTAAGATGCATTGATGATGGATGGCGTTGAAGAATGGCCAGAAAATACCTCTAAATGGCAACAGGCATTTTAGAAACAATTCTGCTCTTTATTGAAGAGGCATTTTCTGCAGTACTGATTTTCATAGGCTTCAGGCTTGTTTACATGTCTGAGTGGCATCTATCAATTTCTCTCAGATCTCAGGCTCAAAGTGTCCTAAGGCTCTTTGCTATTTAATCATCCACTTCTTTTCTTTCCACCATTTGCCCAGTAAAAGTTGTATTCTCCTGTAACTTTCAGGTAAATCTCTAAGCCCATTTCCACTGCCATACTCTGTCTGCATTTGAGGTTCTCACTGTGATTATACTGTGCTTCTATCATATGATCTAGTCTTTTCAGCATTTCTATATAAATTGAGAACCAAACATTGAATCATAAGGGCAGAGGTAAAATATATCATATGCTTTACATATGATAATTACAAATTACAAATATACATACTGTCTAATATAGCAATTCTTCTAGGAACTTCTCCTACAAATATGGTCACATGTGTCATACACACACTCAGCAACAATTTATATTGAAGTATTGTTTGTAAGTGCAAAAGACTGGAAATAACCTGAATGTTCATAAATAGAGGGCTGGTGAACTATACCATGGCACATTTGATAGAATGATACCCTATAACCATAAAAAGACAACTATGAAGTTTTAAAAACCAATATAAAATGACTGAAGTCCAACAAGTGAAACAAAAAAAGCAGAGAAGAGTATGTATAATAAACATTTGTAATGATAAACATACATGCATGCACACACGAACATATACACAAACACAACTGCTTAACTTTTCATCATTATTTGCTTCCGGCAAGGTGCACTGCTCACTTACCTATTACCTCTCAGCCCTGCACCTGCCCTTCTATACTCCATTCTACACTTGGTGCTGGGATTCTGAAAATTACATTTCCTGGGCTTCTTGCCAGCTGGTTTCCTGTTAGGTTCTGCCATCAGGAGACACTAGCAGGAGATCAAAAGGAGGGAGGAAGAAGAGACGCTTCCTGCCTTTGGCTCCCAAAATGAAGCAGTTGCTGGCTGCAGCAGCAGCAACTACAGCAGCTATAGCAGCAGGGGTGGGGCGATTCTGGAGGTCAGCAGCAGCTTGTTGGAGGTGCTAGCCTTGTCGGTGTGGGGCTCTTCAGATTGAGGCCCCCTCCAACAGCATCTCCATCGGCATAGCAGCAGGTGTGAAACTCATGGCTCCACATTCTCAGGCTATTCCTAAATCCTTTCATATTATTTTGAGAATTAAAAAAGTTAATACCTTAAAAGGATAAAGCTAGTTTCTTTTTTTTTTTAAAGATTTTATTTATTTATTTTTAGAGAGAGAAAGGAGGGAGGGAGAGAGAGAGAGAGGAACATCAATGTGTGGTTGCTGGGGGTTATGGCCTGCAACCCAGGAATGTACCCTGGCTGGGAATCGAACCTGGGACACTTTGGTTCCCAGCCCGCGCTCAATCCACTGAGCTACGCCAGCCAGGGCTTTAAAGCTAGTTTCTGTGTTAAGAAATTCCTGAAGCAAAATCCCTGAGACTTCTAATTTAGATATAGCCTACTTAGTGTTGCCACTAATTTTCTAAAAGCTTCCATGTATAGAAGTATGGGTGCATCTATACACTAAACTAAATGTAAAAAATAAAAATTTAAGTTGTTGACATTTTAATTCAAAAATTTAAAATACATAGATGTATAACAAGAAGAAAAATCTGTCTGCACTTTGAAGCACCTAGTGCAAAACTGTGTTCAACATAGTACTCATTGACCATGATGTGGCTCTTTAAATTTTAAATTAAGTTAATTGACTGCTCCTCAGTTGCAGTAGCCACTTCTCAGAGACTAAAGAGGCACATGTGGGTATTAGAAAACTCACTAGACAGCACAGATTAGAGATCATTTCCATAATCACATAGTCTTATTATTAAATAGTGCTGTTTTACTTTAGAAAGAAGGTGGAAGTCCTCTTCAAGAGGAATACCTTTTATCAGAAATCTTGATAAATCCTTTCTATTTTTGCTTTTAATTTTTGGCCCAGAAAGGCAGAATCCCCTAGAAATGTTCTGAAAGTAGAGAACAAATACTTAATATTCCACTGTACATAATAAAATAAGAATCGAGGAGATTGCTGGTTGTCTCTCAGGAAGAAGAGGTTGGGTGGGGGGAGTGGCTCTCTGGGAGGATTCTGGAAAGGAGTAAATAGGAGAGGTGGTGAGGAGCCAACAAGACAGAAGGCAAGCAGAGCCCTCAGGCAGTTAGTGAGAAAGTCCCTGCAGCAAGGAGACCAAAGAACTTAAGGATAGTTAATGTTGCTGTCGGTACTGTATAACGCTTAATATTCTTCAGTTTTTTCCCAACCTCCAGTAACAATCTTTTATACAAAAACAATGGGTTGGTGGAGCTTTGGGGCTATAAGGGAAGTAGAAAACTCCATGCAAAGAAAAGTCATTAGCCATAAGAAGGATAAGCAGTGGGGAAGTACTGGTAATATTTAGTAGGAGCAGGAAACTACAGCAAGAGAACCCTAAGCCCCCTCCCCCTAGGAAGACCCAGAAACACTAGAGGTGACTTGAGACAACCCATAGGATTAGAGTTGGAGCCATATCGTTACAAAAGGTAACCCCAGAAGGAAGAAGGAATGTAGGCCATTCAAATGACAGACACTTGGAGCACACACATACACACAGGACACGCATTTATACTTGTACTCGAAAGAAACTACACAAGATAGAAAAGGATTGGCCAAGAATTTTAAAATGAATACTTCAAAAACTAACTACATGCCAGGCCCTTATAAGTACTTTATATGTACTAATTCTTTTAACCTCAGCATAACTTTAAACTGTTATTATGATTATCTTCTTTTCATAATTAAGAAAACTGAATAAGTAAATAATATGTAGGATATAATTCAAACCCAGAAGTTTGGTCCCAAAGAATATGCTCTTAACCACTAAATTATATTGCCTCCAAATAAAAGTTCAAGAAACTTGTTAGAAAATTACTATTTTCTCTCTTTATAGAGGTGAAAGATAAATAGAGGGAACAGATTTTGAGTCTATGGTGTTCAATAATTTAGCATTCCTAATTAAATCTGAAGAAACAATTTGGTAAATGTTTCTGAGCTTCTATTTCTGGCTAACTTATTGACGAATTTATGGCAAATAAGGGCTGGTGATAGAGTAAAACAATGCAAAAATTTCAAGAAGGGAAAAAATCTAAACCTCTGCAATACTCTAATTCTTAATTTTATTTGTTAAGGACACCAAGTCATTCCTTATATTTAGCCAACACTATATTGATTATTTAAGTAATGAGAAAGTATTTTCACAGTGCCACTCAGAGTTTGGCAAATTAGAAAGTGAAGAACAGTTCTGAGAATTACATACACTCATCTCTAAAGTCCAGAAATACTGTTTCTCCTTTGTGGCAATAGTTTGTTTTCAGCTTAACTGATTTCCTTTTGTGAAACGGAAACGGATGGATAATTCAGAGAAACACTCAGTGTTGCACTCCAAATGGAGAAACACAGAAAATAAAATCATGGTAGATACTTGTCAAAAATGTGTAAATCTCTTCTGAAATTAATTTCATTTCTAACAAATAGTCTTTGAAATTTCGCATATTCATTTTCCATTGAGCCAAAGCCATATCAGTAGAACATCTAGTCATCTGCTAAACCCATATAAGCCACTTCAGTCCAAAAATCTGAACGTCCTCACATGAATTAGCCAACCATTTTCTTTTTGGATGAAGTTTATTAATCACTGTATCTGGTATCTTATAATGTTGGTAAGAAAATACAGTGTTGGGTCTCCTTGAAAATTCAACAAATTGAGCCAATTCAAAATTATCCTTAATCTAAGGGAAGACATCAGAAAACCCCAGGCTGGCTGGTGTGGCTCAGTGGACTGAGCGCCAGCCTGTGAAAGAAAGGGTGCCTGCTTGATTCCCAGTCAGGGCACCTGCCTGAGTTGTGGACCAGGCCCCTACCGGGGACATCCAAGAGGCAACAGATGGCTGTTTTTCTTTCTACCTCTCCTCCTTTTTGTTTAAAAATAAACAAATAAAAGTTCTAAAAAGAGAAAATTCCTTCATTGTTTCATCAAGTACTCAACTGCATTAAAATAAAAATTTAAAATTTTTGCAGCCAGCTTAATTTCTTTTAACTATACTCTATAGGTCGGTGGTAATAAACACTACAAATGTTAAGGACATCCTTTTGAGATCTCAATCATTTACTCTGCCACATCATAGTAAATGTGACTTAGAAAGGTCACAGACCAAAGTCTTCTATTTAGTAACGTAGTGAGATAAATATACACTAAACTTCTCTTTTGATTTTAATTAACTTTGAAATCAAACTTTTATTTCACTGAACATATTCTTTCTATGGCAAAACAATTAACTTCTTTTATTCTGTGAGCAAGCCTCTCAAATTCCACATTTAAAAGGCAAAAAGGGTAAAATAAATTATAACAGTACATTTTTTATTTTACACAATATATCTAAAATATTACCATTTCAATGTATGAGTAAAATTTTTAAAGTATTGATATTTTATATTTTTTTGTTCATACTGAGTCTTCAAAATCCAGTGTGCATTTCACACTGACAGCACTTCTTAACTGAGGTAGTCATATTTCAAGTGCTCAAAAAGGCATATACAGCTAGTGGCTGCCACACTGGACAGCACAGATATAAGGGGAAACCAAGAGCTTTAAAATTAACACACCTAGGTTTGAATTCTGGCTGTAAGCTGTGTGACCATGAGCTAGTTATAGAAACTCTCCCATCCCTATTGTTCTCATCAGTAAAACAGAAATAATATCCTCTGCCTTGTAAATCTCGTAAGAATCAGAGATAATATATGTAAAGCACCTTAGCACATTATGTGTCTGCACATTATAAAACTAAATAAAATCCTCCTCAATCTCATCATTATGTAATTGCAAGAAAGCTCAAATTCAAGGTCTCTTACAAAAATGTAAAGGAGAAAAATAGAGAAATAAGAACTTAAAATATTATCAAAGTTTTGAAACTGAAATCTAGACATCAGTTCACTATTATTCCTACAAAATTAAAACAAACAAAAATGTATTTTCCAAAATTGTGAATAATGCCAAAATAAGACATTGCTGGCACTAGAGAAATGATGGTGCCTGTCTTTTTTTTTTTTTTAAAGAAGCAAATTGGCATTCTTGATTATTTTTCTAAGGCTAGTATCAGTTTCCATTTCTAAGGGAGAAAATGTCTAGACTGTATGAAAATGACACTTTGGGATACTCAAACTATTTATAAATAATCTACAAAGACTAAATGTCCACACTGATAACTGAGCATTCACTATATAATAATAAGGATTAATTTCTTTCAAATAATTGTTATGGTATATTTTTCATTTACTTATATAAGATGTCAAAATACAATGAAGAAAATATATAGAACATACCTCTGATAAAAATGTTTGGGCCGATTTCTGAGCTCCTACATGGAGCAGATATTCATATACGTAGAGTGCTAACCTGAAAATAAATAAGATATTTATTGAAAAGAAAAATATTTAGAATTAATTCTTTAAATCATGCACACACCTTTATACTGCAAAAATATTTTACACACTTAGTAGTGACACAAATAAACTCTTCCCATATCCTTTCAATGGGAGTTTATATATGTCCAGAAAGAACTTAAACCAATTAAAATAGTTCACAGAGAAAAAGACAAATATATCTTTTATTGGCAAGAAACATCTAAAGGTAGATTTTTGTCTTGGATCATCTCACCATAACCTCATTCCCTTTATTATACCTAATACAATCAATAATTTATAACCAAACATTAATAATCTTAATAACCTCTTTTAAGTTATAATTATAATCTTTTATAAGTAAAATAAATGAATTAAGTCACCAGACCTTTCTAAGAACTTTATGTCCTTCCATTTTTTGGTGAACGTTAGTGTAAACTCTAGCTATTTGCACATCCATATGCCAAAACAGGTGCTGAATGTCCATTTTAATACCTGTTCTGCAATCTTTCCTTATTCTTTAGGTTTGATGTATAAAGCAGTAACATTTTACTTTATAAAGCATTCAAATAACAACAAACATTATTAAGTCAACTGTAAAGATATCAGATCATATTAAGCATTTGGGTGCTTACAGTTTAAAAGTCAACACAAAATTATATATAAATTTATCACTTAGATATTCGATATTAAGTATGCAGGATATACTTATACTACTCTCATTATCTTGTGGATTCAGAATACTTAAGCTACACCATGTGGCTCAATTTCAGTTGAGCTATTAACAAAATATTATTCATAAACTCAAATTATTCTGAGGCAATATTTTTAATGATATCTTGGACAAATGCCCAGGTAGCTCACAACAGTTCAATTTCTGCTACACTGTATTTACCAATACTGAGCCAGGTTTACCATAAACAAAATAATGTAACAATAACCCCAATTTTGAATAGCTGCACCACTTCTCTTGCCAAGTGAGTTTTTGATTGTTAAAGATTGATGGCATGTGCAATCATGAGCATTTCCTTCATTTTCATGAAAACACATTATGCATTTGTAAAAAAAAAAAAAAAAGCCCATACAAACCTAGTTGCTCTGTCCATTGATTCTTTCCCCATCCCAAAACGTCACTCAAAATGAAAATTATTCTGAAAATTAAACAGCATAAGAAAGGTGCTCATAGATGAAAAGTATGCTATAGTGAGTATGTGTATGTAATTTGTTTTTTAATTATATTTTATTGATTCTGCTATTACTGTTGTTGTGATTTCTCCCCCTTTGCCCTCCTCCACCCAGCACCCCCTACTCCCTCAAGCAGTCCCCTCACCATTGTTCATGTCCATGGATCATGAGTGTAAGTTCTTTGGCTACTCCATCTCCTATACTGTACTTTACGTCCCCGTGGCTATTCTGTAACTACCTATTTGTACTGTTTAATCCCCTCACCTCTTCACTCATTCCCACACTACCCTCCCATCTGGCAACCATAAAACACTCTCTGTATCCATGATTCTGTCTCTGTCCTTCTTGTTTGCTTAGTTTGTTTTTAGATTCAATTGTTGATAGATATATATTTTTGCCATTTTGTTGTTCACAGTTTTGATTTTTTTTACAATATCACAAAAATTGATTTATTAAACTTTATCTCAAGGAAACTGAAAAATTTTTAAATAGTAATTCTAGGTCCCAGTGTAGACCACGGACCTACTTAGACATCAATATGGCAAACAAAATTTTAATTTTTTTCAGTTTTCCTAAAAGAAGTGTGTTTTGGTATATGTGTGGGTTTTTTGTTAGATCAACATTATAGATAAAATCTGTTGCCAAGGAACACAATTTTGACCTGGTAAGGAAATCATGGTAACCTGACACATGACCAATATTCTAAGACTAGAATTAAAGGCATTCTTTTGAACTTTGTCCTTTAATAATTTTCAGAGGAAAACCATGAAGTGGGCTTCTGGCTCTCAAAGCTTGGTAAAACTAGCAGGTTTCCAGACCTTGGGTAATGTATGTGAAATTCAGCAGGCCAAAGGAGTGAATTTTTCTTGGTGGGATTCTTAACTGCTCACTGGGTTTGGGCTAGTTTTCCATAGACTCCTCTCCCAGCATCATAGTCCTGTCGATACTCATCTCGTACTTGGCCACCAGACCATCCACGGCCATACTGCCTGCCCTCCTTAAAGCCTGCGTCCCAGTCCGTGCGAATGATCCGGTCATCCAGACGAGTTCCATTTATGTACCACATAGCATTTTCTGCATCTGCTCTTAAATAGTATTCCACAAAGCAGAAACCACATGCTGTTTTCTTCATCTTTATGTCACCACTTTTGCTGAAGAGTTCATAGATTTGTTCTTCAGTTGTGTAAAAGGAAAGATTTCCAACATATAGTGTACAGCTTTTCTTCAGTAATTTTTCCTGTTCTTTATTGTCACCCCGGAAGTGTTGGTCCCGGTACTGACTTAGGAGTCGCTGCACAGTGCCTTCAGGAGGCCACCAGACATAGCGCAGAAATGTGGACCTGATCTTCTTCTTTTTAAATAAGTCCCCTTTAACATTTCATATAATAATGGTTTGGTGATGATGAACTCCTTTAGATTTGTCTTGTCTGGGAAGCACTGTATCTACCCTTCAATTCTAAATGATATCTTTCCTGGGTAGAGCAATCTTGCCTGTAGGTCTCTGCTATTCATGACTTTGAATATTTCTTGCCAATCCCTTCTAGTCCACAATGCTTCATTTGAGAAATCAGCTGACGGTCTTATGGGAACTCCCTTGTAGGTAATCAACTGTGTTTTTCTTGCTGCTTTTAAGATTCTCTCTTTATCTTTAACCTTTGTCATTTTTATTATGATGTGTCTTGGAGTGGGCCTCTTTGCATCCATCTTGTTTGGGATTCTCTGTGCTTCCTGGACTTGCATGTCTATTTCCTTCACAAAATTAAGGATGCTTTCTTTCATTATTTTTTCAAACAGGTTTCATATAGGTTTTCAAATAGGGTTTAGAAAAAGGACAATGGCCTTTGCTCATCTTGATGCCGGGACCTCAGTTTCTCCCTGCATGCCACTGGTGCCTTTCAAGCTGCTACCCTAGTGCTGGACCTCAGAAGAAGTGAGTCTAAGTAGGTGAATCTGTGTGTGGGTTCTTCAAGAGGAAATGCTTGGGGATCCAGCAGTTTCTTCCACTGACTAAAATCCCTGCTAGTTTTTGCAGCCAGAAGTTGTGGGGACTTACTTTCCTGGCCCTGGAACCATGGTCTGAGGAACTGGTGTGGGGCTAGGACTCCTTGCTCCCTAGATACCCCTCTGGAATTCTTATCCACCACAGGTGGATGAGGGACCAGCTCATTCCGTGTCTGCATTCTTCCAACAGTCTGGATGGATGTGGTTTCTTTAATTCCATAGTTGTAGCTTCTATTCAACTCAATTTCTGATGGTTCTGAGTGATTGTTGTTCTATATTTTAGTTGTAATTTTGATGTGGTTGTGCAAAGTGATGAGCCCTGTCTGCCTATGCTGCCATCTTCACCAGAAGTCGTGTATGTAATTTAGAAACATCTCCGGACCTCAAATTGAATGACACTTCCTAGATCTGTGCTTCCCAACTCTTCTTCTGCCCTAACATACGTGAGGATTGTGACATACTCCTTTCAGTAGCAGTATCTCCTTGTGGAGGTATAGCTCATCCCCCAAGTATGTCATATGGGATAACAGAATTGGAATAGTCCTATGGTTTCAAACAAACAAATCCTACTGGTGATTCTTATTACACATTTTTCAAACACACATATTCCAGCACACCCTGTCCCTCCATTAGCCACTGCCAACCATATCACTTGATTCACTGACCATGACTACAAAGCTCATCTTGAAAAAGAAGATTATTTGCAAATTTTTCCAGAGAGACTGTGAAGCCTCATAATTGCCTGCCTACTGCCACCTCAAAAGAAATATAGCCTCAGGTAATTCACTGTGGCTTGTAAAATCTTGGGCCTACAGCCAAATTAGTGGTGCAGGCTAGACAAGATTTCCAGGCCCAACTCGAAGGCTGAACAGTAAGGGCGTCTCACCAAGCTTGGGTAAGTTGGAAGTGAGCGGCAGAGAGTGAGCAGAGGCACCTGTGGTGGCTGGCGGGGAAGAAACGGCCAAAGTCAGAGCACAACTGCTGCTGTGTCCTTGAAAGAAACATTCCTTACAGTTAGGTCACTTCCTTGTAGTCTCTTCCTTGTACTATTAAAGGGGCTCATGCATTTCTTCTTTGTTTTTCCCAACTAATCAAGTAATAAAAAGGGTAACTCTTTACCAGTAGGAATAAAAGCAATAATCCTGCTCTTTCTCCATGGGTCTAGGACAACAATTCTAAAAAAAAAAATGTGCTGTAAGGGACACAGAATTACTGGGAAGAGGGGTTTCAAACTACATAACTAGAGACTCTGAAGCATCTTCTAAAGAGTGTGGCTGCCCCCCTACCCTTAGACTCTATAGCAGCACATCATTACCAACAGAGTGGTAAAGTGGGAGAGGACTGAGAAAATCTACCTATAACACCACCTCATATATCCATTTTCTGCAACCTTCCTTAAGCAAAACAAATGCTTCCAGGCAACGGCAGGGAGCCCTGCATGGGAGAACAATTAATTATACTCTGCTGCCACAGTGACTCCATAATACATCATTAGCAAACCTCCAATAGTTTAACAATCACCTGTATGCACAGGATTCTCCAAACCTATCTCTTTAGCCCTATCATTTCTACCAAGCTCCAAACCTGCTCTTAAAATTACTGTTTGAAGTATCTAACAAGATATTTCTCTCTTAAAGTGGCCATGTCCAAGGTTAAATTTGCCTTCTTCATCTGTGTACTGTACCTGGGCTCACCTTGAATGAAAGACAAACTAAGTCTCAGTTTCCTCATTTGTAAAGTGGGAAGCAATATTTTCTTGAGTATCATTGAAAGCACCAGCACAATAATAGCAACCACAATTGTAATTTC